ATCGTCCTCCGACCGAGAATGGATCAAGATATTATCAATAAAGATAATAACAAACTAATCCCAATAAGCCCTGAAAACTCTGTTCATTAAGTCCATGAACATTGCTGGTGCGTTAGTCAACCCGAACGGCATCACACGAAACTCATAAGATCTGTATCTAGTGAGAAACGTTGTTCTCGGAACATCCGGCTCCCGAACCCAAAGTTGATGATACCCAAACCGCAGATCAATTTTAGAAAAGTACTTAGTTCCCTTCAACTGATCAAAAAGATCATCAATCCTGGGTAACGGATACTTGTTACGAATAGTAACCTTGTTTAATTCCCTGAAATCTATACACAGCCAAAGTGAACCATCCTTCTTCTTCATAAATAGAACTGATGCTCCCCAGGGTGAAGTACTCCTACCAATAAAACCCTGGCTAAGTAATTGCTAAATATGATCCCTCAGCCCTCGCATCTCCACTGGTGCCATCCTATACAGTGCTCTAGCAATAAGCGTAGTGCCTAGATCTAAGTCAATCACGAAGTAAATCTCGCGACTAGGCGGCAACCCTGGAATCTCCTGAAAAACATCCGAAAAATTCTTGTACAATTGGTATACGATCCAAAGATACAGTAACCTCCTCCTTCGTTTCCTCCTCCACATGGAACAAATAAGTGCTAATGACCACGTTAGACCGTGGCATAGCGACAACATACATAACCTGACCAGGTATGGTAAAAGCAACAGACCAATCACAACCATTAACTTGAGCATGGTAGTATGATAACCAATCCATCCCAAGTAACACCGTATAAGTGTACCTGTCCTGAACTACTAAATTGGCTAAGAATCTGAGCCTGCAAATATCTAGTGTCCCAACTAAACTATCCAAACCAAAATGCTAAATACTTCGTAGAGCAAAACACAGAAGGTACACAAAGTACTCCGAAGTCAACTCATAGTTAGAACATTACTCTATCCTGAGAATTCTTTCTTTACTATCAAACTTGTTGTATTAATGTACACAAGTTCTTATCCAAACTAAACACTTCACTGTGATAGTCATCTATTATTGTAATTTAAAAATACACATTCCATTATAATTTAAAAACATATGTGTATAAATCCAATAATACCATCATAAACCACAAAAGAGATGGCCAAAACTTATAGTTTACTTTATTAAAAACTTCTTTAAATCGTAAACTTCCAAAAGAATAATCATAAAATATTCTTTAAAAACTACTAATGTACGCGATTAAATTCGTACTACACTTTTACTACTCCCTGCAATGCTACTAGTAATTAATATTACTCTTAAAAGTACCATCCTCCCTGTGATTCAGTACTCTCCTGCTTGGACAGCCCGGTATTCCTACGTTTAGGACACTGCTTGAAAGTGTGGCCAATCTTCCCACAAGTATAGCAAGTACCCCTAAAAGTACCGAACGGTCTCCTCTGCTGGTTAGCCTCTGCCTGATCCCATCCTGCCTGTGGTCCCTCATTACGCTATCGCTGAGCGAACCTAGGACATTGTCTGGCTGTATGCCCATAATCTCCTCAGGCGCGCATAACAATGTCCTTTAAACACATTCTGCACCACCGGTACTACTTCTAGTGTTTGCTGAACATGTAGCTGATTCTGAAGTGCAGTTGTTATGCCCTCTGCTACAGCTTGAGCAATGGTGTAAACTAACTGAGGAGAAAACTCTGGTTTCCTGTCTTGATTGTAGCCCCAATCCTGAGACTCTTGAGTCAGCTGTACATTCTCCTGCTCGATATGCAACTGACCCTCACCATTATGAAATGCAGGCATTTGCTGCTCTTCTTCCATATGTCAACGTTGTAGACGTTCTTGCTGTCTACGTGCCGCTCTCCTCTGTCGACTGTTCATGTTCTGTTTTCTTCCAGTGTTAACCATGCTGTTAACATAGAAAGACAGACATCAGTACGATTTCTAAATGGACCATAAAGGAATTCAACGAATCCTACACTTAAGCTCTGATCAAGAGAAAATGCTACGCAGAAGACTTAATATGAAACACCCTAGAGACACTTGAACCTGGAGTGCTCTGATACCAACCGTGATACCCCTCGGATCCGAGACACGGGTTGATCAGGCCCAAGCCCAAACCCGAGGGAAATATCAAACAATTAATATATAATACGAACACAGATGACAAAATGAATTTGATAAATAAAGTTTAAGCTGAAAGAAAACTAAATGTAAAAAAAACCTTTAATATTAAATATACTTAAATCCCAATAATCTAAAACCTCCATAAGTTAACAACTCGGGAATCCATCTCCAGTGGACCCTTAAAACCAAACTGAAATGAAAGTAAACTGAAGATAAAATCCAAATCAAATATCTGGAAAGAAGTCCTACATCGTCGGTAGAATGGAAGATCTTCTCTGCCCAGCACGAACAAGCTCAAACCTGGAACTGACGTACACCTGGAAAATAGGAGTGGGTCAGGCCCACGAACAAGTTCTAACCTACTACAATCCAAGCAGAGACTCGATACGCATATACACTCTAACCAACTCAACAATAACTATATAAGTCGTGTATATATATATATATATATATATATCCATACAAAGGGACATTCACTGGACTACAGTAGGGGTCTCAACCTGAATAGAAAGCAACATGCGAAAACGCACCCAAAGGTGGGCATGAGCACCTAGACCTAACAGGGTACACCTCAATCTACTATAGCCAGCTACGCATCCACTGCATATACGCACCCTAACCAACGAGTCTGAGACTCAGGCTCCTCTCGTGGTACCATAAACATATATTTAAAATCCGTTCATAACAATCCATAATAAATCTAGTAAGTCGTTCAGCTTATTCAACTGCACAGACTTAACATAGATAAACAGTAATCCAGCTAGTCATTCAGCTTATGCAGCTTGTTTGACTTAGCCTAAATATAAGTAGGATTTATTTTTAATCCATTCCCTTATTTCGTATAGGTAGGATATAGCAATTTTTGAGCCAAATCCAAACCTAGTATGTCACCGTCCCATACCGGTGCATACAATCCAATCCATCCGGCAGTTAATAGAATAAATAAAAATATCACTATCAACCAATCCGTACATTCCACAATTGGCAATAAAACATTAAGTACAAATATCAATTGTTCCATATTAAGCATGATAAAATAATTGTAAATTAACAAGCTTAATCCATACTACTCTGAAAGATCCACTAATTGATATTACAGGTTATACATGTAAACCAATTAATTCTATAAATGTTCACAGGTTTATTTTTATAATTCTGGAACATGACTAACTGCAAATCATCACTAAGAATTTTAATAACAAAGCTTAAACATCTTGCAGTTCCTCCCATCCAAACTGTAAACCAACTTAGGGCCAAATAAGCATACTAAACCATTTAAATCCACACGCTTATTTTATAACATTGGGATAGGTTTAACTGAGAATTTTATTGCTAAGAATTGCTATTCTAAGTGTTAAGCAATTCTGCATCCTTTCATGACAAAAACACAATAAACTGATTAATTAGGCATTGTCCACTGTCGCACTAAAACAAGGTTGTTTTATTTTGCATAAATCTTCTCTCAAGGATTTTAATCAAGCTTAGACCATCATTAAACACCTCAGTATAGCCTCCAATAGAAACTGAAAATCTCAAAATCCGAGTTCCGTAGCCAAACCAATCGCAGAAAACTTAAAACTGGAAGCCGGTTGAAGAGCCTGCTCTTTCAAAAGAAAGAGCCTGCTCCCTTTTTACTTGGAGCCGGATCTCCTTGTCTTGGAGGCGGCTCCATGACCCCTTAGAGCCAGCTCCATGTTCCCATGGAGCCTACTCTTTGCTCCAAAGAGCCTGCTCTTTGAAATCTTGAGCCATCTCTTCTCTGTTCTTCATCCCTTCCACATCCGGTATGTTTCTGTTGATCTGAATTCCATTCCTAAGGTACTTAGATGATTAAACTAGGTTCCAAGTTAATCCATAGTTCACTAAATTCTTTGTTCAATTTCCAAACTCAACTAATAAATGGATTTTGCAAAAAGAATTTAATACGAGCAGTTTAAACATTCCAGAGCATCAACTGTTGTAGCAAATCAAACTTGCAACCTAAATTACTTCTAGTGCTTCCCAACATGTTATAGAACTAATTAAAAATCATAACTCATCAGTTTACACGAATTAAACAGAGGTTTCACAAGGAAGAAATTAAAATAAACAGTACACACGTTTCATCTACAATCAGTTTTAAAACCATAGAGGTACAAGAAATCCAGTTTAATTTTAATCCTTAACAGTTCCCTGGAGTTGTGTTAGACATGCAAAGAACACGAGGCAACGGAAAGGAGTGAGGATTAGAACTTGCCTTTGAGACTTTTGTTCCAAAATCTCTCCGTCGTCTTCTAAGGTTCCGGCAATTCCTACTGCAAAATTCCTCCTTTGTTCTCTCTCTGCCTCCACAGGCGTGTATAGGTTTTACTTTTCTTAAAACCCTAAGCAGACTTATCTTATATATTTATAGGCAACCAAAAACCTAAGTCCAATTATATCCAAAGTCGAAACTCGGCCCATAAACACAACCTAGTTTATAAACCCTGTCGGCTCACTAAATTAAACCTAAACAGAACTAAAACCCTAACCACACTTTTATACCTAGTCATTAATTAAAACATTTAATTATTAATTCAATTAAAGAAACAATAAAATTCCAAGTTAACGTAAAACAGAAAATAAAATACAATTTAATAACTAATTAATTAATTCACAAACCACCACTAAATAAATAAAAACAAATAAAGTCACACTTAAACAACAAATTCACAACTAAATAAATAAAAACACAATTTAAATAATTAAATAAATTCCAGAACTATCCTTGTTAAATTAGGGGTATTACAGGCTCAGATTGGCCAAGGAACTCCAGGTAAAACACCTCAAAGCCTATAGTGATTCGCAACTCATCACAAGGTAGGTGACAGGAGAATACACCACCAGAGAGGGAAGAATGGATGCATACCGAGAAGAAGTTGAAAAATTGACAAAGTGCTTTGATACAATCAAATTTCAGCAGATTCCTAGGGAAGAGAATTCGATAGCTGATCGCTTGGCGAATGCAACATCCATAGCGGATAAATCACTCACCAGGGTCATCCCTATTGATGTCCTAGATACTCCAAGCGTCACAAGGGGAATGTGGGTACTGGTCATCCTATGGGAACCAAGTTAGATAGATCCAATATTGGCTTACCTTGAGAGAGGAGAACTCCCAACTTTAAGGAAGCGGCCCGACAACTAAGGATGAAAGCTGCCAAATATTCAGTGGCAGGAGGACAGCTCTTTAGATGATTGCATTATGGGCCCTACCTCAAGTGTTTGACCCCTACGGAGTCCCAAGAAGTTTTAAAACAGATACACGAAGGGGAATGTGAGAATCATTCTAGGGGTAGGTCATTGGCTCATAAAGTTCTCACTCAAGGTTATTTCTAGCCCTACATGGCAAGGGAAGCGGAAGAATACTCCCGCTTGCAGATGCGACAAGTGTTAAAGGTATTCCCCCCTCGTTCATTTACCCCCGGAAAAAATACACACCATGAGCAGCCCATGGCCGTTCGCACAATGAGGAATGGACGTAGTAGGACCCCTACCAATCGCGGCATTGCAAAAAAGGTATGCCCTGTTAGCCACGGATTATTTTACTAAATGGGTAGAGGCAGAGGCATACGTAAGTGTGACTAATGTCCAAGTGAAAAAATTCGTTTGGAACAATCTGATATTCAGATTCAGAATCCCAAAGTCCATCATCATAGATAACGGGCCGAATCTGGATAATTAATGTACTCAATGTTTCTTCAACAAATACGGTATCAACCAGAAAGTATCAGCTGCATATCACCCCCAAAACAATGGGCAAGCGGAGATAACTAACAGAACAATCTTTTCTTGCATAAAAAAGAAGCTTGAAGATAAAAAAAGGGAAGTTAAAAGAATTGCCAAATGTCCTATGGGCATACAGAACCACCCCGAGACGTCCCACCGGCGAAACTCCTTTTTCTCTAGCTTACGGCACCGAGGCCGTAATCCCCACCGAAGTGGTAACACCCACCATCCGAAGCTTAGCTTGGAACCAAAAGTCAAATAATCAGCTTCTGGAACACAGTCTGGATCTATTGGAAGAAAAAAGAGAAGCTGCAGCCATCCGGCTAGCAGCTTACCAACCGAAGATAGCAAATAGCTATAACAAAAGAGTCAGAAGGAAAAGCTTCAATCCAGGAGATCTAATACTCCTAAAATCAGAAAAGTATGTCAGCAAATTGGAACCTAACTGGGAAGGGCCATACCGAATATCAGATGTGATTGGAAAAAGAGCTTACAGACTTCGACACCTGGATGGCACCGAAATGGCTAAACCAAAGAATGCAATGAACCTGAAAAGGTACTTTCAATAAAGTAAATCGTACAGTGTTTTCTAAGACTCTACTTTTTGAATGAATAAAGCTGCTGATAGCCTTTTTCGAATGTCCCACATTGAATAAAAACAAAACTTTTAACTATTATTTAAAGTGGAATAACACGAGATCTAAACAGTGGAGTGGACCTCGTGATGGTAGGTAACCCATAATGGGACCCACCATCAGGGGTCTCAACTTCACACTTTTTATCTTATCACAGATAAGGTCTCATTACCTACAAGAAACGATGTCCTCCATTGTTCAAAAAGTGGAATCTAACCCTTTTTCTTATAAGGATCCACACTTACCTCCTATCAGTGTGTGGGACCCATTGACAATGGGACACCACTTACGACACTAAAGTGCCCCATTGTCAGAGGTCTCCATACACTCCCCACAATTTTTCAAATGAAAAGATATTTTCCCTTTCTTTGGAAAGTACAGTCCCACGTCGGTAAAAAAGGAAAAGAATTCCTTATTATTATAATATGACCTGCCGGGTATACAATCAGCGGGTGAGGGCCCTAAATTATGAGGCCCGTGGATAGTCACAGCTCATTATCAGAGGGGGTCCATAATTTAGAGCCTTCCCCGTTTTCTTTTGGGATAGGTCGCTTCTTTTCAAATCTCTATCCACTTTAAACAGAAAATGAGTTTTCTACAAAACAGAATCATTTAATTCTAAACGTCAGCAAGGGAATGCCCATACAAGGAAGGTCCGACACCCATTTTGACCAAAAAAGGCCCAATAAAAAGGGGTCAACTTGCGACGAAATGCTCAAGACGGACCTACAAATAGGCGAAGGCCCCAAGAGCCTAACGCTTGAACGGGCTTGATCAGATTAACTGCTCAAGTCCAAAAATGCCGAACGGCCCCAAGAACCGATCGCAAAATAGGCGAAGGCCCTAAGAGCCTAACGCCCGAACAGGCTTGACCAGATAAACTGCTCAAGTCCAAAAAAGCCGAACGGCCCCAAGAGCCGATCGCAAAATAGGTGAAGGCCTTAAGAGCCTAACGTACGAACGGGCTTGACCAGATAAACTACTCAAGTCCAAAAAAGTCGAACGACCTCAAGAGCCGATCGCAAAATAGGTGAAGGCTCGAAGAGCCTAACGCCCAAACGGGCTTGACTAGATAAACTGCTTAAGTCCAAAAAAACCGAGCGGCCCCAAGAGCCGATCGCAAAATAAGCGAAGGCCCCAAGCGCCTAACGCCTGAACGCTAATCGCAAATTGGACAAATACATTAAATCACAAACAATAACGTAAGCGAAAGAAATCCCAAAGATTTGTCAAAAAGAAACCTCCATGTTCTTAAAAAAAGGTGAGGGTTTTCTACAAAAAAGGCAGGGTATACCCAACACCTCCAAAAAAAAAAAAAAAAAAAAAAAAAAAAAGAAAAGAAAAGAAAGAGGAGCTGCGCAGGATCACCATCAGGCATAGCTCTACCTTCCGCATTAAACCTCTGTGTGAACGCATCAACCAACTCTACCCTGGCTGGAGGTTCTGCCTTCTCTCCAATATCCTTCGGGTTCTGAGGTGTTTTGCAACAACTTAGCGGCCGCCTCCCTCTCTTTCTTCGTCATACAAGGTTTTGGAGGAGGAAGTTCCATTGCTGATTAAGAAAAGGTGAGAGGGGCAGGCGATAAGATAGCCTTAGAATCGGAAGTGTCAAGATCAATTGGCTCTTCAGGATTTAGAGCAATTACTGGAGAATCCCTCGAGATCACCTCAAGAAGAGAAGATGAGAGAAGGATCTTGGCCGAATGGACGTCGCTCCAAACTCTTTCATATAAATAAGCAAGACGACTATCTGCAAATTTCGAAGAGAAAAAATCAGTTTTGTGACCTAGGAAGTCATATATGCAACAAAAATGCTTACAACACAGACGAAGCAAGAAGACTCGCCTGAATCATCAAATGCAGGAGTAACATGAAAGCTCGATTGGACGAATAAATCCCGAGCGGACAAAGATCGCCACGCCCCTCCGACCTTAACAATTTTGTACTTTCATTCTTTGTCAGAGGTATTAAGATGAGAAAAAAGAGTTCTACCCGTTCTAAAATGAAGGTAGAACCTACCCTCTCTTCCTTTCAATCTATCAAGTGAGTAGCAAAACAGAAGATCAACAAGATTTAAGGTTAAACCTCGAACCCTGTTCAGAGCAAGAAGACATGAGAGAATACGGAAGAAATTAGGGTTAACTTGAAAAGGAGTCAGATTCAACACCGACAAAACCCGAAGGAAAAAAGGATTTAAGAGGAATCGAAAGACAGGAAAATGTAAAGCTGAGAAGAGCATTTCGCCCTCCTCCAAACCCTCACCTATACTGAAGTTCAAATCATGATTGTACTCCTTAAGGGTAACGTCAGAAGGAACACGATTCTTTTTTCTCAACTGAGAAATTGAAAAGGACTTCCTTTTTACAACATCTGCAGGGAGGATTATAGGACCCTCGGCATAATCGCTTAGACTCGCCGCCATAGTTCCCGACTCGAAATCAGACATATGAACACTATGAGTTCGTTCATTACTTTCTTGACTCGTAATGTAAGAAAGATGGAACCAAAAGAAGACTAACCTCGGTGGATGGAAGGAGATGTCGAAGTAACAGTTAGATTCTCGCCAAAACTCAGGAACAAGATCACAGATGCAAATGTCCAAATCGCGAAAACCCAATATATAAGCTGAAAGGGGCAGATAACGGAAAGGCAATCACGAAGTCCCAGAATCGACAGCACGAATGGTAATGATAAGCAGTAACAGCCGCAAAAACTTCTCCACTTCCCGAAAACAGTTACAATTCCTTATATGAATCAAATTCATAAAAAGGAATCGAGGGCAAAGTGTAGAGGGAAAAAACCATACCAATTGCAAGACACCACGTGGCACAAAAAGCAGCCCACAACCAAGTTAAGGTAATTGGAAGCCCACAATCAGCTGTAAGCCCAACAGAGGAAGCCTCACGCGTGTACCAGCTCAACCCAATTAAAGCAAAGGAAGTTCTGCTTAATACAAAGGCTAAATGGACAGCCCAATCTTGACAAGGCCCAAAATCCATAACGTCCGCAATAATGTTGAATGCACGATCTATAGGCATAATTACCCACGTTTGGGAATAAAAGCCAAGAAACGGCTCAATGTAAATCTCTAAGCAAAAACTTATAAATAGAGCCTGAACAAAGGTGAAGAGGCATTGAATTCCCAATATTGCTACTCTCTCAAAGATTTGTTTGTTGCATTCTTGATTTTTCTGTGTGTTCTCCATAATTAATCTCTTTAAGTGTTCGGGTGTAAAAAATTGTACCTACACATATAAAACCCCAAAATATGTACTAATTAAAGGCACATAGTAACGGTTACGGAGAATTTGTAACACACTGCAAGGAACACAACTGTACAAATAAATCAGTCATAACTTATATAAGTTACATAACCTTTACTCAAATAAGAAATTAATGATTCAGCAAAGTAATTTAAATTTTCTTTGAAACTGAAGAAGCACAAATGGCACTTGAAATCTTTAAAATTTAAAGTCATAAAATTCAAGTATATATAATTAATTGCCCATAAGAAACCGCATATACAATTACAAGGATAAAATGTACAATCCTGCAACAATTTTCCTTATATGCAGCAAATATTTATTTCTTGTATGTATAAAAAGTAACAACATATTTTAAATAATTCTCTTAAATTTTGAAACGGTAACATACTCTAATTACTAACTATATATATTCATCTATACAACCTCAAAGGCTGTTATGATTAACATAAAGGCAATTTGATTGAGAAACGGATGTTTTTTCATTTAATTGCATTAACCAATAGTAAACAATATTCTAATAGGAAATGTAACCCAAATCTATATCAGATGTGCAAATACAATTAATAAGAGAATTCAAATATAAAAAGATAGCATACCCAGCAATCATTTTTCCTAATAACAACTAGCATCTATAGAATACACAAATGCAAATCGTAACATTAAATGAATGTAATCATTTTTAAAATTCTACACCATGGAATATGGATATTGGTAATAAATAACTTGCTTAATCCATATCAATTTACTAGAATAAGCGCACGTAACTTGAACCAATTACCATATGGGGGATACTCAGATTCATACTAACAAAAACACTAAAAAGAATAATAATACTTTAGAAAGAATTGATAAGATATTAAATCAAATCAAGGGAATTCATAATGTAAAATTTTCTCTTCTAGAAAAACATAATACACATTTTCTCACTAAGTAAAATAAGTGTAAAATTAATAAACTATTTTCTCTGTCAATTTACTTTAGTCCAAAAACTAATTTTCCCTGTCAATTTACTTTAGTCCAAAAACTAACTTTTCTATGTGTACGGTGGAGATGTATTTTTCTTTTTAAATCATAAACAGATTCCTCTTTAGTAAAAAATAGAACTTGTATAAATATATAGGAGATATCAGCTTTAGACTGTTGTGGAAATTTCACATCTTTATAGAAAAATATAAAGTACAATATTCATACATAATGATTCAAAGAAAATGAACAACACCAATACGAAAAATCTAATAGCGATTCTTTCATTAAACTGAATAGTACATCGATTTGAACAATATGGATATAATGATGAATAAGAACTTATTATGATAAATATTTCAGCAATAATATAATAATAGAAATTAAGAATGAAAACAACAATAATAAAATAGGTAAAAAAGTGCTGGCCTAATTATTGAGGCATTTATAAACACATTGACCTAAAGCTGATAGTTCTTCCCTTCGTGCGGGTATTGGTGAAACTAGTCAATTCCAAGATACAATCCAATCATCTCGCAGCGGCGTCTCCTCCATATGTACGACCACAGGAAGATTAGGTCCAAGTCTATATAAGCACTAGATATACATATCCATGCTTAATTCGCCCTTAGAATGATAAACATATAGTCTTTTTATAGTGTAAAAGAGTGTAATGGTTATAGCAACATAAATAGAGAATTTAAA